TTCAATTTCTGTCTGTAAGCAGGAATCAGGTGGGCCATCACGTGATCAGAGTGTCCCAGTGGAGCATGTGTAACGGTGTGATAGGCACTGCTAACTGTGGTGTAGCAGAGATCCAAAGTGTTCCCCTCTCTGGTTGGACACTTAATAAACTGTCTGTATTTGGGAAGTTCTTGGCAGAGGTTTCCTTTTTTAAAGTCACTAAGAACAATGACAAGCGATCCGGCTTGTTTCCCTCTCTTATGGCGCTTCATTCGGCTAACAACAACGAGAGAGCCCTTCACCAAAATGTCCAATAACTCAACTGATGACACAAAAAAAGTGGGAAATAAATCCGCTGGAGTATCTTATCTGTTAAATGTAAAAATAATTAAATTAACAATGATGGTCTAAGGCCTTTACATGTTGCTTTATTGAACCGTTTTAACAGCCCTAAGAACACTGAGACAAATTGATGTGGCATTCACTTGTGACTCAGATCTGATCTTTTTATGACAGTGTGAACAGGCCAAGTCACATGGAATCAGATCTTTTCCAGTTCGGAATTGGGCCACTTCCATATGTGGTCCAAATCAGATACAGATCGGATCTTTTCAAATGCGACCTCAGTCTGGACATTCGGGTCGCATTTGATGCGACTTTGAAGTCATTGTAGAGCAGCTGTTCTGCTGTACTCGGAGCCGCACTGAACGAAAAAGCTCCACAAAAAGCCATAATTAAACATGTGGCTCTCTTCCTTCTCTACCTCGCTATCATTTGCTCACAAATTCCCTTTCTTATACCTAAAACCGGACCGCGAGCTCTTGTGAGTTACATGCATGCTACTTGTCCAAGCGGACACAGTGGGGAGAGAGAGAGAGAGAGAGAGAGAGACGGAGGGAATGAGTTGTGGGGCAGTTGTGTTGTACGGCGCCAGAAAAGAACAGAAAGTTGTGAACACTTGTCATAATTCGGGAGAAATGTGACCCGTGAGAGGACAATGAAAAACGGGAGTCCCCCGCGGGCTAACCGGCGCTATGTTGCTCCTTGTTTACTTCTGTAGCCTGCAACAGCGTGCTGCGTGTGACATCGTGTTAGTCGTCTGCATATGTGGGTCACTTTCAGGCCGCGGAAAGTTCACACTGGAGTCTGATATGGGCCACATTTAAACTATAATGTGAACTGTCAAACAAAAAAAATCGGATCTGGGGCAAAAATTGGAATTGAGCATTAAGGCCTGCAGTCTGAACATTGCCTTAGACTTGTCAGGAGTCCTCTCTCCGTCATCAGCAATCAACCCTCTCTGTTAAAACCCTGGCTCTGCAGTCACTCCATGCCAGTTCGTCAGTTAACCTACTGTGGTAACACGCATTCTGGTCCTCTGAGTTTTGTCAACTGCCCTAGTGATTCTTGCTTGTCTTTTTTGCTAAAACCTGTTTCCTTTTGCCTGTCTACAGTGAGAGACCTCAGCTGAGTTTGGAGAAACTGCCTGCCAGCTGTGCTGTACTGTCTCAGGGTGCCCCTGAGACAGTACAGCACATAACAGCAGGGTGTAAGATGCTGGCAGGAACAGCGTACGTGGAACGCCATAACCAGGTAGCTGACATAGTGTACAGTAACATCTGCCATGAGAATGGGCTGGAGGAAGTCTGCCCCAAGGTCAAAATGGAAGACACCTCCTAAGGTAGTTGAGAATGACCAAGCTAAGATCCTGTGGGACTTCAAGATCCAGACAGACAAAATGTTGATGGCTAACCAACCAGACATGTGTTGATCGACATGAGCAACATCAAGAAGAAGGAACACGAGAAGCTTGAGAAATACCAAGGGCTGAAAGAGGAGCTAGAAAAGATGTGGAAAGTAAGAGCAACAGTACTGCCAGTGGTAATCAGAGCACCATGACCCCCAAACTAGGAAAGTGGCTACAGCAGATTCCAGGTAAAACATCAGAAGTCTCTGTCCAGAAGAGTGCAGTCCTAGGAACAGCTAAGATACTGCACAGAACCCTCAAACTCCCAGGCCTCTGGAAGAGGACCCGAGCTTGAGGATGACACATACCACCCCGCAAGGGGTGAGAGGGGGATTATATCTATATCTATATATATATATACATATATATGTATGTATATCAGAATCAGTTTTATTGCCAGGTATGTGTACACATACGAGGAATTTGACTCAGGATTGTACATTGCTCACGATGTGCTTACTTATACAATAATAAAATAATAATATAATAAAATAAAATCAGACACAAACTACAGAATAGACAACACTAATATACACGCTATGAACAAAACAATATAGACATATTGACAAATAGTGCAGTAATCAGAGTGCAAAGGATGCAAGAGTAAACTATTCTCATTATGTACATGTTGAAGGTGGATGTGATATACAGGTACACATACATGCATACATGTACACATGTACACAGTGTGATGGAGCATAATGCAAAGTATGCTGGAAAAAATAAATAAGACCTATGACCTTATGACCTGAGGTAGGTGTATTGGTATACAGTATATACAATATGACATAGTATGAACAGCACTGAAATAGAGAATGGTGAATAAATAAATAATAAGTGGAAACCAGTAAACAGGTGCTGATTAGAGACAGAGTTTCTGGGTTATTGCACAGGAATTGTTCCTGACACTGTGAGTCAGAGTCAGCTGTTCATCAGAGTGATGGCTTGTGGGAAGAAACTGTTCCTGAGTCTGTTGGTTTTGGCGTACATTGCTCTGTAGCATCTACCGGAGGGGAGGAGCTGGAACAGTGATGTTTCTTGCCCATTTCCTGACTCTGGAAATGTATAAGTCCTGAATGGAGGGCAGGTTGGCACTGATGATCTTTTCTGCAGTCCTGACTGTCTGTTGTAGTCTGCTCCTGTCCTTTTTGGTGGCAGATCCAAACCAGACAGTGATGGAGGTGCAGAGAACAGACTGGATGATGGCTGTGTAGAACTGGATCAGCAGGTCCTTAGGCATGTTGAGCTTCCTGAGCTGGCACAGGAAGTACATTCTCTGCTGGGCCTTCTTGATGATCAGGTCCTGGAATATAGCGGATCCCAGAAACCTGAAGGATTCCACAGCAGACAGGGCTGTTGAGTATGGTGATGGGGTGCAAAGTGGGGGGGCTCCTCCTGAAGTCCACGGTCATCTCCACAGTTTTGAGCGTGTTAAGCTCCAGGTTGTTCTGACCGCACCAGAGAGCCAGCTGATCAACCTCCCGTCTGTAGGCCGACTCATCACCGTCCCTTTATCTGGAGGATTTCCTTCACTGAATTAAAAACAACTATGGAGCTACTTATTTGTAATGTCTAATGTAATATATGTTTTTAGTTGTTTTTGTTATGTATGTGAAACAGTGTATGCCCCGGGACACAAGACAAATTTCAGAAAATATTATTTTTATAATAAAATGACAAATCAAATCAAAATAGCACTGGGGCATCAGCTATATCAGACTTTGACTATACTTCATAGTATTTTAAATTCACTGTTGGTTCTTCAGGGGAAGTATTGATGATGAGAAAAAGATGAAATATCAACATTGTTTCCTGAGCATAATCTGAGATTTAGCAAATTATTGACAGATGAAAGCAGACTCATGCTCAGGCAAAAGCAACAGGAGGAAGCAGGAAATGACCATATCACTGTGACACATAGCTCTCTTTCTGAGCACCTCTCTGCTAATGTGTCCGCTCAGCTTTTCAACTCAGTCAACCGAAGTAGTTTTGGAGTCTCCACTTGGAGAGTTCAGCTGTTGTCATTTTTTCAGATGAGAGATTAACAGGAGAAAATGTTTCAAACATGGAAGACAAATCACTGCCTGATGTGCTGTCTTTCATTGACATCTGTCTTTAGTTATGTTATTTGCTTTTCACAATTCACAGAATGTCTGGACCTTGATCTGTTTTGTAGGATAGGGTTAGGGCCTGCACATTGTAATCAAATCTGAAACACAGAGCGATAGAAAATGTGTGGATCTTTCAATACAAAGAGCTATTGATTGTCTGATACTGGGGTGTTGACGCTACCAGGTTGGTTTAAAGTAAGTAGGATTGGAAAGGTAACCATGCATGTGACAACAGAGATCTAAAAGTTACTTCTGCATGCTCTAAAATGTTTGGGGTACCTGATGAACATGTCCACAATTAAAATAAGGATATTAAAAAGCAATTAATGCATTGATCACGCATTTTAGTGTGTTTGCACCAGATGCTGGGGGTAGATGATAAATAAATCATATCATTATTTGCCTTCATGGCCTGTGTGAGCAACATAAAAATCTATTTAAATCAGAATGCTTTATATTAACAATGAATCCAATAACAAATGGGAATGTGAATAGGGCCACTATGAGCTCTATGAAGCATTTTAGTGTTTTGGTTTTATGACACCTTTATTGTAATGTTCAGTCTTACTGCTCTCATTAAACATGTTTCTAGCCAACAACAGGCTGCTGTCTTTAGCACATGAGATGGCTGTGCTGTTAATGTCTGAGAGGATGGGTGTAGGAAGGCAGATGATTGAGACAGAGCACTGTCTGTTGCCCCCCCAAATGATGCAGCTCTACAAAAAGCATAATTCAACCTATGGACAAAACACAATTTCATGGAAACAAGAAACTTATGAATTAAAACTGGTGTTGATAACATTAACCTGAGTGATGTTACCTAAGCCATCATCCGGCATCGTGTGTTTCCATGTTAAGAAACATTGACAATATTGTTGAAAGACAACACGGGAACACAGAATGGGTAAAAACACTTTGGGACCAGCAGCTCCTCCCTCTTCAGAACTATGGTGATTACTATTCATCAGATGATCACACACACCATTAAATGGTAATGCTGTGTCTGCTGGATGTGTAAGTAAGGAACTGTTTGCTAACACATGAACAACTTGATGAAGAAGATGAAGTTGTGTGTCTCTCAGTTGTAGTTTTGTTTGTACTTTATCATCTATAAGCCACACCAAGTTAGAGGTTTAACTGAAGAATTGACCCACACAATAAGATCAGGGGAAAATGGTTTTAAATATGGTTTAATTTAACCCTTCTTTCATTAAAATTGTTGAAAACACAAAGTCTTAACTTGAGATAAATTAATTGCTTTGTCAGCTATGCATATCCAATCAGTAACAAGAATACGAAATTAGAAAATGAAAACAGAGAAAATATTAAAATTTGCAACACCATAATAAATCAGCTTGTAACTTGACCAAGTAAACTGTTGTACATTTGCGTGCCCTTGCTTTTCCGCTGTGTCAAATGTCAAATAAAACAGGCCTGAACAGATGCACTGGAGATAAAACTCAGTCAGCACTCCTGCACACATACACCTGTCAAGTCCACTAATGGGCTGAGGATTGACATGCAAGTCGTGTGAGCTACGACTGTGGATTTATGTACAGAAATGTTCACTTACACCCATTTCCTGTTCTCGTGAGCTGCGGTGCCTTATCTTAGCTGCTGACTCATTACAAATCCCAGACTGGGAAAAGGGTCATGCCCCTCCAGCCAATGCCTGCCTCACCCGGGTGATCTGATTGCCAGCATAGCTCAACTTAATGAGTATTTGGCAGCATGTGTACATGATTCACACACACAGGTGTTGTCTGGGAAGGTTACAAAGTGCAATAAATGGGAGCGAGTGAGTGTGGGAAGATAGGTAGGTATGTGTGTAAGCGTGTGTGAGCAGAACGGAAGTCATACAGCGTTTCTTTGGGGCAGAGGTAATCTCATTGGTTGGGTTATATAGCAGAAGGAGCCACAACTATTCTGTCAACACTCATGAAGCCAGGTCAAAAAGACATGAAAAAAATAGCCATGCTGTTTTCGAGTGATTGCAAGATATTCCTAAATGGTGACAGTTAATTTCAGATATTTATATTATCATACGTTACCAGACAATGAATACAGGATAGAATAGGGGTCGCTCTCGCATTAATCCCTGATGATTAACACCATTGCTAGCTTTGTAGTTACACCAGGTAAATGGAAAGTAAGCCTAAATTAGCCAGGTTTAACATCCCAAATATTTGTTTGTTAACAACTGAAACCAGATACAAACAGTGTGCCCTCATTTCTAATTGCCATGATAGACTGCATAAGATTTATAGGATTTTATTTGGCTGTAACTGCCAGCGTGGAAGGCTTTGCAGCTGTTTTGTGAGTAGTTTGTTGATTTCTGTGGCTCTTTGTTGCCATGTGGGAGATATCATAGCTGAAATTCCTGATGGTCCAACTTGGAAGTTCAACTAGGAGGCTGACGTGAGCAGTTTTTTGCAACTTGGCCACTTGTAATCACACACGGTACTATATGACATGAACGCAGCATTGGCTCACATTCAACCTAAGCTATTCTTGCAAAGTTTCCCATGGACTTTAATTTATTATTCATATTGTAACTTATTTTGAGTTTAGACATTTGGTTCTTTGGCTCTGACCACTAACTTAACTCAGTCATTGATATTATTTCTGCCTCCAGAGGAATTTTGTCTCAGAAAAACAGCAATAAAACTCCAAATAGCATATGTGCATGTTCATCTAAAGCTCGATGATAAGCTTTCCTTCATCGTCACTACTGCTGGTGTCTTCTGTGTAGTCCTGGCAACTTTGCACAGGCCTTAGTCCACTGGTCAGACAGTCGGCTGGCTGGTAGCCATGAAGCTGGCCGGCCAAGAAAAATGATTTGGTAATGTCAGGTCTCCCAGAGGTACTGCTCGGACTCGTGAAGTCATATGGTGCATTAGCCTTGGTGTCTTGATAACCATCAGTTCCTTCGAATGTAAAAGGCTTTGATGACAGCACAGCATTATTATCTAGCACATTGTTGTTTGGTGCTTGGGTGTCCTCTGTCAGTCCAGCAGTAGCTTTGCTGACTTGGATAGAATGAGAAACTTGGCAGGGGAATGTGGAGAATGATGTTTTGACATCAGGCGAGGGATTTTTGTTACTTCCTAATGTTAACTTTGTACAACCGCTTACTGCTGTCACGTTGTTACCTGCAGTAGTATTTCCTTGCTGAATGGACAGAGGGATGCTCGTCTGCTTTTGGTCCTGGTGTGAAAATGTTTGAGTTTGTTGAGAGCTGGACTCAATTCTTGAAAGGGCACTTTGTGTTTCTGCTAACTGGGCCTGTGCTGTGATATGCTGACTTGAATTTGATTCGCATGTAATCTGTGTTTCTTGGGTATGGATGCTGCTGCTTTCCCAGTGTTGTTGTGAGAAATAGAAGTTGTTCATGTCCAATGGGGGCTGTGGAGGATTGAAAAGGCTGGTCTGACTACTGCTGGCAGGTGAATTAAGGTTATTTGACATGCTTGAAGCTTGCTGAGGGCTCTGTGGAGGGTATTCAGACATTCCTGAGTGTGTCTGTGGAAGATGCTGAAGATGCTGCTCAGATGGCCAAGGGGTCTTAAAGGAATCTGCCTGGACCTTTCTGTCTTCTCTCTGTTGAAAAAAAAAGGAATATGAGGAGGAATAGCACCATCATATCATCACAATAATACAGTCATTGTTATCCCTTCAGTAAACCTTCTTATTACCTTCCTGCATTGCTCAGATACCACAAAGCTTCATGTGTCCAGTGAGTTCAAATCCTACCAAAAAAACAATGTAACTGCTGTCAGCTGTCTACTTCTGCTATTGTTATAACTGATTACTGATGTTTTAAACTTCTGCAAAAAGCTCATAAAGCCTCAATTTATATCTGACTTGCCACCATGTATGTGGCGTTGGAACATACATTTGTTCAGCACGTTTGTTATGTTGTGTTACTCATGGGGATGATGTATTTAATTATGCAAATATTTCAAGAGAAAAACATTTTCTGGCTTGGGTGTCTCTCTTCTCTTGGTAAATGTCTTTTAAAAGGAAAAACAATTGTGTGATGTAACAACCCATTATGTCTGATACCTGCTCCGACATGATCCCCAGATCAGGACAGCCTGAATATATCTGGCAGTGAGGGATTTGTTAAAAGATTTAGCGGAGTTTGATAATAATTAATCAATAAAACATATTTGAAGAGAATGCAGAACTGGAGCAAATCCTGTACACTTGGACTCATTTGTTGAAGAGGATTTTTGCGGAAGTGTATGTACTGTATACACGTGAAGAAGGAAGTTGTGGGTAGATAAATAGAGCAAAGGGTGTGTTAAACAGTCACAATGTTGGCCAGTGCATGTAAAAACAATGTTTTCGCCTTGAGCGTCGTACTATTCCAATGTGTGGAATGTAAACAGTGAAACAGTGAAAAAATAAAAATAAAAATAGTATAGTAAAAATGCATCCAGTGGGCAGTGAATAAATTCATTCCGTCTCACCTCTGGCACTGTCACGTCTTGTAAACATGTGTATCTGCAGGTCGTCTCTGCCTTGCACCGCTGTCCTGGCACCTCGTCTGTCTTGATTCCTCCGTTCTTCTCCTCTCCCACCTCCCCTCTGCCGGCCTGTGCCTCCATGCATTGGTGGTTTGTCTCTCCAGCCTCTTGGATCTGCGTTGGCCTCCAGTCTGTACCCCATTTCTGTGGCTCCTTCTGGGCTGGACATCCCGCCAGGGAGGCTCCGTCCACAAGCCCTAGGGGAAGAAAAACAAATGAAAACTTTTCTTCAAGATGGCAGATCTACAATAGCAATGTTTATCAGTACAGTGGAGATAATACAGCTTATATAAAGCCCTGAACGTAGAAATTTTAGCTGATGGTTACAATTATATTTGGATGAAAGCACAATAAAATAAAATTCAAAGAATAAATTATATTATAATAATATACTATTTGTGTCATATATTCTTGAGATATTCAGATATAATATGCAGTGGTATGTACAATTGTCTTTTGGACATGGGCTTGTAGACGTCCTAGAATTCGAATTTCTTTGGTTTGGCAAAATTTCATTTAGTAATGCTGCTTTGGACTTTGGTGGCAACGCTGATATATGTCTGTCTAATTTATTTATTTATTAATATATTAGGCCATGTTTATTATTAAAGATCAGTTTATTTAACTTGTACTTATCCCCATGGGGATAAATTAAGTGTTTTGAAATTGAAATTGAAAACTCTGGATGGAGGTCAGTGGCAGCCCTTTTGTTTATCCTGTGCTCCCCAGGTTGGCCTTTTAACTTTGTTATTCCTCCCCTCCTTTAACTTGAAGAGTGGGTAAATCTGTGTTTGTATTTGAAAGGAATCAAATGACTCAAATAATGCAAGACACTACCTCACATGTCACAGCAATTGTCTTTGTAAGGAGACAATATTGCTCCAAAATAAAACAACATAGAATGATTTCATTTTGCCATGGTGAGATTTCTAAGCAAACCACAATTTGATTATTTTTAAATAAAAATAACTGATAGTGCATTTAATTACTGCCCATGACCAAAAAGACATCAATTGCAGGTTTTGGTGGTTCTGCTGTACACAAATCCAAGTTCACGCAAGGCCTCCATTATCAATCTGGTGACCATATACTGCCATCTTGTGGCAAAAACTGGTTTCTGTCTCCGTCTGTTAGTAAAGCAAATCCAGTCCAGTCTTTACATGAGTGTCAGGTTAGACACATTTTTGTTGTGTTGTCTCATTGTACTGGAACCTAAACAATGAGTACAAGGTTTAAGAGCCTATGAGGTTCATTTGAAGCTATTTGCATCCACAACACACGAACAGTCGTAGCAAATTTTTACACATAACTGTATTATATAAATTAAATGTTACTGTAAGTCACTGGGCAAAAATGAGCTGTGGGTCCCTGATGACCCACATCTATCACCACCTTCTTCCCTCTGTACATTATCCTCTCTGCCTAAAACTATGTTGTGAGTATTTGCTACATTATATAAATAATCAAGACCTGAAGTGTTCACTCAATACGGATGTGACCACTATCAACCTAAAGTGAGATATTTACCCCCATAGTCATTGTTTCATTGAATAAAAAAAACAAAATGATACATTGGATATCCAGTGTACTGGGGTACAGGGCCAAATCAATGACAAATTCACATACTGCACTGCATTTCCTTCAGATCACCTTCAGTATAAATATTTCATATAATTAAAATTGTCATATATACCCGCAGTAGTGCTCTGAACACTTGGAAGCACTGCTGGGATGTCTTTGGATCTTTCCACCTGGACGTTAGAAGACACTGAAGTAAGCTGACCAAGTTGTTTTTCTGAGTTGGATGAACTGATTACGTCCTGTGATTCACTTAGAGTCATTTTCTGTGAAGGGGGAGAATTATCCGAAGATCCCACCCTGTCAAATCCCATGTTGGCATGTTTAAATGAATTTAGAGCCTCTGGTAATGTACATTCCACTGGATTACTGCAGTAGCTGGATGCCTGTGGGCACAACTGTCTTGGTGCTTTACATTCATTGATTGAAAATGAAGAAACTGAACCAGAGAGTTCGTCAGCACATGCAGCAACGTAGGCCTGACCGTGCCCAACCTTCAGAGGAGGGTGGGCTTCTCCACTCTCTAACCTGCTGCTTTTGTTTGTAGAGGCTCCACCCTTGGCTTTTATTGTTCCTACACTACATGGGGCTCCTTGATTTTTAAGTTTGTGTTGGCTTTCTTTGCCCAGAACTTCACTTCTCATGCTATTTTGATTTACTGTGCTGGGAGAAAGAGAGGTTACCCTGAGCTTGTGTTGACCAGAGACTGTTTGAGAGACCAGTCCACCTTGGCTGACTCTCCTGTCTGGCAAAAGTTGCTCCTCAGCACAACAGTTCAAAGGAAGGGCTCGATCCTCCTCTGAAGCTTGGCTCCTTCCTGACTTTACACATTTGAGTGCAGTTGACACAACAATGCCCGTAGAGCTCTGAGTCTCAGTGACCGTGTTTACATGACCATATAGTGCTTCAGGAGGCTTAGAATCAGCTGATACTATAGCCTGAGTCGACTCACTGTGTTCAGTCAAGTGGAGATTTGACTCTGCCTTCACAAACTGTAAAGAGTGTGGAGGTTTTATTCTCTCCACGGTAAGTGTGGGTAAAGACTCACTTTGGCCCAACTCCTCTGGATGTCCTGGCTGTTGATGGTCACTTCCCTCATTGCTACTTTCCATGGTGACAGAGCTTGGAGCTTTATTCTGGATCAATTCTGGAACCCCTGCTTCCATCGCACATCTATGTGAGAGAGCGCTACTTTCATGCCTCTCGATCTGGGGTTCAATGAGAGCCAGCTGCTCATCAGATATGATCTGGAGGCAGATCTGGAGGTCTGCTGTGTGAACATGAAAAACGTTCTGAGCAGCTGGCTGCATCTGGTCAAACGGTACAATGTGACAAGGTACAGCTGGGGTGTTTGAGCTAGCATATGCTTTGTTTACAGGGCTCAACTGGTCTGATGCTGGTGAGAGTTGTGTGTGCGACACAGGGGGGTTAAGGTTAAGTTGACCTTGTGAGAAAGATGTAATTGCAGCAGCAGATATTTGATTGTTTGCTGTCGTTATGGTAGGTGTTGCAGGGAAGTTCACAACCACGGGTGCATCAGGTCTGGGTGAGCCCCCTGCAGATTTTGAGGGCTGTATTCTAGTGCTGCATAATCCTGCCTGATAATCTTGTAGGCAGGTTGTGGTTATTGTGGTTGCTGCAAATTGCCTGTGCACTACAGTTAGACTAGAAGTTGCATTTTGATTGAGTCTTGATGTTTCAAGCTGACAAAGGGTTGTGGCTGTGCAAGGCAAGACGAGCTGGCCTTGTGTGGAGCTGAAAGCATTTGTCTTTTTGATGTCACAACTCTGCATCAACGGTGAGGTGACAGGATCACAAAATTTCCATGTTGTGACCGAGGGTGAGGTTTGCTCATTGTGAGAAGATGACAGAGGAGGGGAGAAAGTGCAGCCGCCGGCTCCTGCTGGTTTGTCCCCAAGATGTGGTGAAAGATGTGAATCAGGTTCAGCAGCATTAGGTAACTTTAGCTGGTACTTGGGTAGAAAGCTGGTCTTGGCAGAGGAGGGGATGGCAGTGGTTAGCGAGGTGCTAACATTTATATTGGTTATGCATGGTGGGAAGAGAGCTCCTTTGAGCTGTGGATGGTTTATATTTTTCTGAAGGTTGATATAACTGAGATTTGTATCTTGCTGAGGTGCACTGCCAGTGACAGAAGGAGGCGGGTGAGTCAGTGTGTTTGGGTTGGTTTCCATCTCCAGAGGGCAAATTATTTTGTTATCAGTTTTCTGCTTTTTCCTGTCAGAAGGAATGCGGGCTCCAAAGAGCTGCGAGCTGGAGTCAGTATGTTTTTCTTCATTAATCAATCTCCCTGCTTCTGCTTCGCTCATGCTGTCTGTTCTGTTGCTAACCAGAGAACCAAGTGAAGGTAATGGCAGTACTGACAAAGACAGATTTCTCCGGAGTGGGGTCTTGAGAGAGCTGCATGACGTATGAACCTGACTAGTTTTTAGATTAAAATCCACAGGACAGACGAGGGGTAGTTTGGCAGGAGGGCAACCTGGATGGCACACTGTTGCACTGCTGCTTGTGAAGTTTATGGCTGAGCCTGCTGTTGTTACTGTCTCCTTATGAACTGCTGGCAACCTTTTTTGTACGCCGTGAACAGTGTCGTGCTCTGGGTTTGTCGAACATTTCCTGTCATCTGCACCTTTCTCAGCATTGTAGAGCTTCTTAAATGTCCCTCCGCCGTACATGTACCACTTATTGTAGGCAAACTTCTGTGTTTTCTTCCTCCGGAACTTTCTGTTGCTTGGCTCTCCGCAAATGTCACCGCCATCCACGTCGCAGCTGAGACTGCCGGTGCACGCCTCCTCCACAGATGAATTCAAGAAGGGACCGTCTGTTGCGTGGTTGCAGTCTACGGCTGTTTGCCGGACCAGTGGGCGGTGGGTGGATGACTGCTGGTTCACAGGCTTGATCGCAAAACCTGTTGGATGGATCTGGCCAGAGCTTCCCCTGCGGACCAGTGTTACATAATCACTCTGATAGGAGGAGGTTGGGCTGCTGCTCTCAGGCTGCAGGAGGGTAACGCTGAAAGGGAGGGAGTTGCTGCGGGTTAAGGAGGCATGTTCCATGGTGGTGGAGCACTGAGTGGGCACAGAGCTGTAGAAGCCAGGATTCCTGTTTCTTTGTAATCCAACATTCGGAGTCTTACTAATCCTCATGTCAAAGTGAAAGGAGTCCTTGTAAGTGTATGGCATGGGAAGGTCAATGCTGCCCTGCTTTGACAGAACTGTCTTCCGCGGCCTTACGTTCTCCAGCTGTTTGTCCTCCACAACGGCTGTATTCTCTGAAATGAGCTTAGAAATTCGCTCCTCCAGGGTCTTTTGCTCTTGCTCCCTTGCGGTATATCTGGGTTCCTGTCCAACTTGGCCTCGTTCTGAAGGTTTTTGTGTACTGGTGGTTTCATCAAGCTCCTTGGTGGATTCGGTGAGGGAATCCATACTGTGGTCAGGTAAAGCGCTGCCGGGGCTTGGGTAGTGGTCACTGCTCTCACTGAAGCCTGAGTCGGTGCTCTCATGGCTCTGTGATTTTCCTCTGGATACGGAGCTCTCCCACTGCTTGGAAAACAGAGTGGCTTCTTGTCTTTGAAGGGGAAGATGTCGACTTGCAGTCACTGGAGGCTTTTCATATTCCATTCTCTGTGTTTCACCTTCTGTTGTTACCTGTGATCTTTCAATTGGTTCTGTCTGATGACCTGGAGGGGTCAGCTCTTTCTGTTCACTGACAGAACCATGGGTCATTACAGAGCAGACTTTTGCTGTACTGGCTGGACAGGTGATCTCAGCAGAAGTTAGTGTGGCATCCTTTTCCCTGCTGCCAGACTCCTCGCTGCGCTCATCCAGAGACAAACTGGAGGTACAAGTCTCTCTGGAGCTGGATATGCTGTCTAGACTGCCCAGGCTGCTCTGCTCCGATTCAGACGAGAGGCGAGCATGAGCCTGAGTACGCTTATGTTTGTAGAGGTTGCTCTGAGTCTTGAAAGAAACTCCACAAGTGGTGCAGGGGTAAGGCCGCTCCCCAGTGTGGCAGCGCAGATGTTTCTCCAGCACGCTGGGCTTCATACAGTCCCGTCCACAGTGAGGACACATGTGCTTTCCTGCCGCCTTGGGTCTGGCTGCAGGAGCAGTGGCTGCCAGAGTCAATCCCGGCTTAGACTGCAGCCCACCAGCAATATGGAGTGTCAGAAGGGGAAGCGTCTCCTTGGAGTAGAGCTGCGGCATGGCCAGATGGAGTGTGGCTGGCTCCCGGGCAGCTGCAGGAAGCTGGGGGAAAGGCTGTGCTGGTAGAGCAGGCACTGTGTGGATGTAAACAGCCGTCAGCGGGGCCTGGATGTCCATCCTTTTCTCTGTCTGTGCTGCGACGGAGTTGATGTGCACTGGAGCACTCGCCAATCCCGGCTTGCCAGTCTCCATGGTAACACTGCTGCTGTCGTGATGTTCCAGTGCCAAGTCTTTAATTACCTGTAAGATAAGAACAGTTTGCATTAGACCTCTGCTTTGCCTTAGATTAAATGGGGCAGATCTGTCTATCTGAGCTGGGATGTTGCTTATAAAATATTGAGAAAATGAGATTTCATTCCTGGAGAATATTTTGTTATTGCACCAGTGGATGAATAAATGTACTAAAGCAGTTACTGCAGTACCCTTTAGGACAGATGGCTAATAAAGCGATTAATCCAGTCTGTATTTTGCATGGTGATAAAATCCAGGGAGACGTTTTGCGATTCTACAGCACCAAAATAAAGCACATCTACATCTCCGTGATATCATTGTTGTGGTGAGCAACAACACCCATGGTTACAGAGTGCAGAGAAAAGTAGAGGCATTTCAATCTCTGCTGTTTAATTTCAAGAGCCGGTGGTGCAGGAATACTTTTTGGATATTTTAAGATATGTTATGTATGCAGACAATGGAAATATATGAGACAAAACATGGAGAGAAATGTATATATACAGTAGAGAGAGGCAGGGGAGGATACAGGAGAGTGACTCACATCAGGAGAGGGACGAGGGAGTGAGAATAGGTACAGTACAGCAGAGGCTTTTATCTCCCCAAATGAAATGTGTCTACTGACATTAGCTGTTGCCTCTGTCACCAGTCTGTACCAATTAAATGGCATATCCTTGATGTTCACAGTAGCATGTGGCGGCTTTGTCTCCTGACAGACTGTCACATTTGTGTAGTAATCTAATCAAAGCGTAACACCACCTACATGAAAAGATATAGCTTCACATTAGATCAAACAAATTCAATTTCCTGTTGCTGTGATGCTACTTCTACATGTATTGTGATTTTGCATAATTCACGGTACAGTTTGCATGGAGCACACTCTTTGTCAGCATGAGCACGACCATGTTACTTTTTGTGGTTCTCTGAACTGAGAAAAGTTTGTTTCTGTTCATATTGGAGAAGCACTGTGTAATTGTATTTTAATAATTTTATTGTTCAAACATTATTTACTTAGTAAATGCACTTTCACTTCCTTACAGCTATGTAAATAGCTGCAACTGCCTAAAGAAATACAGTTGTAGTGTGGATCTTATAATTATTTCCAACAAGCACTTGCAGTCAGTTTAAAGTCGTGTACAAGTGTGTCCTCAGTTCAGAAAGAAGTCCAGCAGTACTGAAAAACAGCTTCTGCTTGTAGTAAGAACAAACATCAGCAAAAACAGGCAGCATCAAAATATAAGCACAAAAGAAAACTTTCTAGATTTTTCAGATTTTGTTTGTCATTATGAAAAAAATTCTGGTTTCATCTTATCTACTCTCATTAAACTATTGTTGTGACTTCATAAAGGGAACGTTTGAAAAGAGGAAATATTTGATGGTGTTGCCATCACACAGTGTAGGAATAATATTACAACAAGACACCATAGCATGCTGTAACTAGGCCAAAACTCAGGCGTAACCGTTAAGAGGAACAGCAGAACCAGAAGTCACTTACCTTCTTGCTTTACACTTCAATCAGCAACAATTATCCAGCTCAGAAAGTCTTCTACTCTGAACAGCCCCATCCTCAGTGTACCTGCTCATTTCAGTCTGTACTGTCATCCAGGGCGTATCTAACTCCAATCTGATTTTCTCACGCAGCTCTTTGACATGAACTGTTTCTTGTCACGAGGAAGCAGAACAAATGCAAATGAGAGAGAAGATGCACTATGAAAGTGGTGAGGCAGAGAGGAGGAGAGTGAGGGAAGGAGAAGGGCTGGCTGGGTGGGTGTGTGGCTGTCAAACAAAGACTTCCGGAGGACAAGTTGAAAACATAGATTGAAAGAGTGGAGAGGCCCTGAGCACAGACGGAAGGATTTAAGGCTAATACAAAGTGTCGTGCAGAAGTGAAAGCGACTGCTTGGCAGAGGAAGTGCAGTGACAGAGGCAAGCTTACCTTCAACAGTCATGTTAGCTGACTGACTGACATTACCATCAACAGTTTGAGGACTTCTGGCTCACTTATATACTCGCTCCCCCACCTACCTACTTCCTCCCACTCACTGCATTTCATACACCCACATAGACAAGGGTGCAGCAAAGCTAATGTTGATGTTGCCGCTTGGCTGCACGTGCACTGCTCTCACTCTCTCAGGCAGAGAACAAGTGGATGAGTTGTGAGTGGCCGGTGCGAATTTCCAACCTCCATCCACTTTATAGTATGCAACATTTTCCCGTAGTACAACGGTTCAGGCCACACATGCTTACCATGCAGTACAGTAGCATTGAGATCACAACGTCTAATTTGTGCTCACACTTGCTGGATATATGCTGGGTTTAATGTAGCTGGTCTTGACCAGCAAAACTGTGGATGTAAGAAAAAGAATACAGATTATATTGCTCTGTTTAAAACTCCTGAGGATTCTTATAAGGTTATTTTTGGCAACAGTTTTCTTTAACTTGTCCTAGAGTAAACTAGTGAACAAAAAGTATCGCAGCCTCTCAGCAAGTACAGTAAAACCAAATCAAATTTTCTGTCATCTGTCATGTTCATTATGGTGAAATTTGCACCAGAGGTATGTAGCTACACGCAACCAGCTCATTTGTTTGAACACATCATTGCTATTTTTATAGTTCATGATGACACAAATAGACAAATGCACAACACATACCTTTACACATGTCAGCTAATGACCAGTGTCAGTGCCAGTGACACAGCTGGGACATCACTGTGTACCTTTCTTAACAGCATTACAGAAGAGGAATATTGGCAGGATTAGTTGTCTGAGTGGTAGGTTACACATTGCAGATGTACTCATGTGGCCTGTTACAATATAATTCATAAAATTATGCTGTGGGCATGTCTACACCCTGACTACACTTGGTTATATTTTTTAAACCTTCTTTTAGCTCTGTTTTTGTCTCCACCAACTCCTGAGAAGAATATCTGGCTAAATGGTAGTTGCTAGCTTTGTCTGTCTGCCATTTGGTGTTGGGCAGGTGGTGCATAGTAGTTCAGTTTTAAGGGGCGGTGAGACTGAACCGAAAAAGTAAAGTTGCAGGCTGTAAAACCAAAACAATGAGTTAAAAGAAGACAAAACACACCATAGAGCTGAGGGGAGCTGCAGAACAGAACTCTCTGTGGGTTCATCAAGAACCACTTTCATATTACACTATCCATTGTCAATACAAGTTTATTACATTTTCTTTTTAAATGTGAATAAATTAAAATAACAACCTCTGCTGTGATGTTTTCACAGCTCTGAATTTTTAAACAATATGTCGTCGCGTGGGATCGACCGTTCGATGATCAGATGACATCTGCTGAAAGAAAACAAATAGTTTTATATCATTTCACTGCTTCAGACTCTAGTTGGTCTCCAAGGCAACTGCAGGCTGGTCCGCTGAGAGCATGTCTCGTGTTGACATGGTAACAACACAACCACCTACCACGCATGTGTTCCACCGCCGAGCTCACAGTGCTGCAGGGTGGAAGTCTCAGGCATGTTCGCATGTCAGAAGAACTGTTTTTAAATCACAGCAGGCTATGTGTGTAGTCTACATGGATTTGTACAGCTGTCTTCTACAAAACAGTCAGCAGGAGTTTAATGTTTCTGACAGATGATATGTTGGCCATGTTACTAGGATACAAAGTTGAGTTTTGAGTCAAGTTTTACAGCTGCTGGTCAGCAGTGACGAGAGACCAACAAAATATTTTGCCACTCCTCTTGGCCTCCCAGTTGCTGAACCTCTGCATCGTACAAACAATGTAGTTGCTTTGTTGCAGTTATTTAGATATTTATCCATGTGGAAATGGCAGTCCATCGGTTTTTAGCCATGGAGTGGATTTGTCAGACATATGTTTAATCATACCACTGATGCTGACATCCCAGTAGTCACAAATAACTCTTAATATAGTATGTAGTATTAAAACTCTCTTGTTAAAGTAAAATCAGTCTGGCACAACATGGTATCCAGCTCCTCATACTGTGCACCAGGGCAGGACAGGTTAAAAAACAAAACAAACAAAACAAACACCTCTTAATACAACAGCCTAAAAAGCTAATATTATCATACAAGCTAAAGTACATTTTCAATCACTTGAGAAAAATTGTTTCTCACCCTTCACTCTTAAATTTTACATAATTGTATGACTGTGAAGTTGTCTGCCTCTGCACACTGCAACTCACAAGCTCATTCAAGTTATGGCCCTAGATTGAAGGTACCCACGGGAAATATCCAGCTTACTTCATTAGTGTTTGAATGGGTCCCTTGCTGCATTTTTACACATGATATGAGAAATTACAGATCTGTCCAACGCGCTAAGCTACTGTTATCCTGGGTGGCGATGGTGCAATGGATAAGACACATGCCTTTGGTTTGAGAGACCCAGGTTCAATCCCCCCTTGTGACCCATCCACCCTTGTGTCCCTGAGCAGGACACTTAACGCCTAGTTGAGGTAGAGGGGTAGAGGTATGTGACCTCTGACATGTATAGCAATTGTAAGGTGCTTTGGATAAAAGCGTCAGATAAACATCTGTATGTATTACAACACTTTTCTGTGTTTTTGGCCAGCATTTGAACTGATGAGCCACATTGCAGGAAGTGGCAACTGAGAGACTGTGTGTGGGTGGGTGCTGAATTGCTGGAGGCCTATATCCACTTAGTACATGTTTGCTTATGCCTTTTCAGTAGCTAGAAAACAGTAGTCTCATGCCCCACTTTTGTCTTCAGCACCACTACCAATAACACCACTCCTACCAGCTGCCAAACACAGTGTATATACCTGTCAGTGTGAAACTAAAAACATAAATATTTTCTCTGTTTTAATCCATAATGCAGTCTTGGCTGATGTATTCAGCATGTAGCTTAGAAATAGCATTTTAAGACATGCAAGTAAGACTGCAAAGCCAAGACTGCTATGATAGCAGCAAAGCTGAGATCAAAACCTGGGCAGAGGCTTACAGCTCCTCTGTCTTGATGTCTTTGAGATGCTGTACTCGTGCACCCTCTGCTGGGGTACGAGTGCAGGCCCACATATCTGAGGTGAAAAAGGATTTATACGCATAAATTATTTGTGTGGTAAAATTCGGTTAGTGAAACACAGTGCATCACATACTGAAGCATATGAACATATTTAAAGCTGGCCTGAGTAACTGATATTGTATGTTATCTATGAATCTGATCATTTATTTTTCAAATAATCATTTAGTCGATACAATGTTAGACAAGAGAGATTTTTCCATCACAATTTCAGATTCTAATGTGCCCTTTTCATATTGCTTTTTATTGTCTGAGCTACAATTCTATATATTTACATTATAAATCTGTCACAGTCCGTATGCATTTGCTGCTATTTTAATTTATTTTTCCCCATTAGTTTGGCTATTACTCTGGTTCTTGATTAGAGGATCATCCAGAGCACCTGTAGCACTGGGTGTGGGAACTGACTTATCAGCAGGGATTGAATATAGCTTGGTGATTTCCTCACTGGGCCAATCAGGGTGTGATGACGCCCATTCTGGAAGGCATAAGAAGGATGGCTGCACACACAGGGCTCTTTGAGGCATTTGTATGTTGTTTGTATGTGTGCAATAAGCACTTTCATAGACAAAGTCAGCTGGTAGCTCTGTCCCTTCGGACCCCTTTTGTTGTCTTTTTTATCTACAATTGGAGGCAATAGAGTATCTAGTTCAGAGTGGACATAGAGCCTAAAGCAGCCTAGTGTTGTTTGAGCAAACATTACAACACCAGTCTGCTGCCTGCTGCCCCATATTTGTTTGTTTTCATTTAAAACCCCTTCCCTATTTATTTCTTTTCTTTTTTTTAACCTTTTATTGAAGAGGCATTCTTTCATTAAAATACTTGTGGAAAATGTTGTCCAAGGAGGTCTTTTTTGTTTTTTTGGTTATTATGTGGTTGGGATCTGGGTCTCAGGCCTGTGGAATTAGTATGGCCACAAAATTATATAAAACTGAGAGAAGCAGCAAATTCTAGCAATATAGAAGTTGGAAGCAGCAACTGTTTTGCATATTTTGTATTAAATATCAGCTTACTTATATAAATCAATGAACAAAATTGTTGTTGATTCATTTTATGTTAATCAACTAATTATTTCAAGGGTAATTAACGCCTGAAAGAAAGAAAATCTTCGTGTTTGGGCTTGTGAATGTTTTGGCCTGCACCAAAGGTATGTTGCCTTCATGTACCTTTCTAAATGCACCTTCAGATTATTTTTAAAGAGCTTATTTGTTTTAGAGACAGAGAGCTGTTTTGTGTCGCTTAGTTGAGCAAAAAATGTCAACTTTATTCGTGTACCATTCCAGCCCCCAAACGTCTCATTTTACAGCTTAGGGTGTACCAGAAACCAGTGTTCTTGTACCCTTCCCTGATGAAGTTTTACGCCGAAGTTTAATTATTAACCGCTGGCCTACACTGAACTTTAAATAGCCCTGTGAACAGTTCGTCTAGTTTGTTTACGATGAAGGACACCTTCCCTGTCATTCAGTTCTGTGACGTAGGACGCACATACGTAACGTTACAGCGTAACGCACGTTTGGGTCCAGGAGCGCCGTTGGAAGTTTGAAGTGGGTTAAATATTTTTACGTTTTAACATAACTAGCGAGTAATAATATTCAACTCCTCTCGTTAAACGGCACGTTATGACATTGTTGTATAGTACAGACGTCGACGCAGGCTGGCGTTTTATTCGCGCTTAACGTAACGGTACTGTTGTTTTTGCTGTGTCTTAACTGAAGCTAACATTATTAGCAACACCGCTAAGCACAAGCTCCATTCATTTGTTGGAGCTGGCCACAGCGTTAGCACGGTCCCAGCACTAACGATGCATATGTGAAACTTATGTTAGATATGCTAACAAACTTGCTGTTTGGAACAACACTGCATTAGATAACGTTTTTGTATTGTGAAACGGTGATCGTTTAACAGCAGCTAACGTAGTGAAAAGATAAATTGATGACTTTGTGTCTTTTGTTGCAGCCAGCTAAGTTGTCAGTATTGACGGCCCGCGTCTGGTCACACTGACCCATCATGTATCGTCCAAAACCAACTCTGAAGGACCGACAGCACCTTTACAAGCTCATTATAAGCCAGCTGCTCTATGATGGATACACCAACATCGCCAACAGTCTCATCAATGAGGTCAAACCACAGAGTGTAGTGTCGCCCTCTGAGCAGCTGATGCAGCTGGCAAAGACAGGTAAGAGTTGTTTTCTCCATGTGTGCATGTTTGAGCCATGTTTGAGGGTTCAATTGAACCATTACCAACTTTTTTCAGGGATGGAGAATGATGACAGTGCAGTTCAGTATGCCATTGGGCGCTCAGATACGGTGGCACCCGGTGTGGGTATCGATCTGGAATTTGATGCTGATGTCCAGACCATGTCTCCAGAGGCATCAGAATATGAGACTTGCTATGTAACATCCCATAAGGGTCCATGCCGTGTCGCTTCATACAGTCGTGATGGTCAGCTGATTGCCACTGGCTCAGCTGACGCTTCCATCAAGATCCTGGATACTGAACGCATGCTGGCCAAGAGTGCCATGCCTATTGAGGTGAGGCAGGTTTAAAGAGTACACTAAGCATTTTTAACCCAGTGGTTTATGTTTACTGTTTTCTTTTGTGTTTCTTTATGTCAGGTGATGATGAATGAGACAGCGCAGCAAAACATGGAGAATCACCCTGTGATTCGAACACTGTATGACCACGTAGACGAAGTCACCTGCCTCGCCTTCCACCCAACTGAACAGATTCTGGCTTCTGGCTCAAGAGATTACACCCTTAAACTGTTCGACTACTCAAAGCCTTCTGCAAAAAGAGCCTTTAAATATATACAGGTCAGATTTTGTACACAAAATGTCTAAGTTTTCCACACAATTTATAGTTTGTCATAGGTTTAGGAAAACTTTCAGTTGCTCTGTAAGTGGAGATGCCCAGTTACATAGAAAACATACAAGGCTTGGAAAATAGAAGATTTTTTTTGTATACTACTGTAATTCTGTTGTAATCCAATCTTCCCTTCATTTGTTTTCCTGCAGGAAGCTGAAATGCTCCGTTCAATCTCCTTCCACCCGTCGGGTGACTTCCTGCTGGTGGGAACACAGCACCCCACCCTCCGCCTCTATGACGTCAACACCTTCCAGTGCTTTGTGTCATGCAACCCGCTGGATCAGCACACAGACACTATCAGCGGCGTCAGCTACAACCCCACCGCCAATAGCTACGTCACCTGCAGCAAGGACGGGAGCATCAAGCTATGGGATGGCGTCTCCAACCGCTGTGTAACCACCTTCGAGAAGGCCCACGACGGAGCTGAGGTCTGTTCCGCTATCTTCTCCAAGAACTCAAAGTACATCCTGTCCAGTGGCAAAGACTCCGTGGTTAAACTGTGGGAGATCTCTGCAGGCCGGACACTGGTTAAGTACACAGGTAAGGGGTGGGTTTGCCAGGTTCAGACTGGGGGGTTAAAGAGAATGTCATAGTTTCAAATTGACTTGAACAGGTTATGCTGATATATTTAACATGCCTGGGGAATTTGTAGAAGTTGACCTTATGCTTTTTGGGAAGCAGTGCTCAAAGTGAAAGACGGTACAAAGAGTGATTTTTATTATTTTATTTTTTTTCCCCTTACATCTGATTCAGTACGTATCATTATACATGATTCATGAGCCAATGCAAAACTGATACAGATGTACATGGCTTCATCCATGTTTGTTTGAATTTGCACATCAATCACAAAGGGTGCGTTTTGACTAAAAGCAACTAAGTATAAAGGAAATGTATACACTCCTTGGCCACTTTATTATGTACACCTTGCTAGTACCGGGTTGGACCCACTTTTGCTTTATTGGATTGAGATCTGGTGACTGTGGAGGCCATTGGAGTACAGTAAACTCATTGTCATGTTCAAGAAACCAGTTTGAGATGATCTGAGCTTTGTGACATGGTGCATTATCCTGCTGGAAGTAGCCATCAGAAGATGGTACACTGTGACAAGAAAATATCCCCCTCACCACAACACCAGCCTGAATTGTTGATAAAAGGCAGGATGGATCCATACTTTCATGTTGTTTACGCCAAATTCTGACCCTACCATCTGAAATCGAGACTCATCAGACCAGGCAACGTTTTTCCAATCTTCGGTTGACCAGGTATGGTGAGTCTGTGTGACTTATATCCTCAGTTTCCTGTTCTTAGCTGACAGGAGTGGCCCCCGCTGTGTGTCTTCTGAAGTAGCCCGTCTGCTTCAAGGTTCGACGTGTTGTGCGTGCAGAGATGCCACGTTCAAAGTTACTTAAATCCCCATCATTCCCCATTCTGATGCTCGCTTTGAACTTCAGCAAGTTGTCTTGATCACGTCTACATGCCTAAATGCATTGAGGTGCTGCCATGTGATTGGCAGATTAGCCATTTGTCTTAACAAGCAATTGAACAGGTGTACCTAATAAAGTGGCCGGTGGGTGTATTTTATATTTCCAGTCACACCAACAATAATAAACAAGCTGATACATAATGAGTAAACTCACTAAAGTTCAATTTGGGTATTGACTGTCATCCATCTAAATTTGGTGATTTCAACATTGTTAAACTAAAGCAGAATTAGAAGCATGAAATGCAGTTATTGCACTTGTGTCATCATCAAAAACAAAGTGTTTGAAAATCAACTTAAAATGCAAAAACCTATTTGTCAATTAGGAATGCACACAACAAAATGCCAAGTGTGATTAGAACCTTTTTTTCCATTAACCAAGTTAGACAACTGCTTGTAATTTGGGACTGTCCCGAATTACAAGCGGTTGTCCCGAGGGCGAACAATACAATAAATCAATACAGCATCTCCGTGTTATTCACACTGTCAGGAGTTCTAAATACTCCGGTAGACCTTAATACTGCCCAAACCCACTTGCAACACCACAGTCATATCCTCTGACATACTTCAAGAACACAGTTGTTGCTGCGAAGAGAGCAACCTGCAGGGAAGACAAATGGGTAATGACACACACACACTCGTAGATATGCATTTACTTATTTATTCAGTTTTATTTATATAGCACCAATTCATAAAAGTTACCTCATTGCACATTTCCTATAGAGCAGGTCTAGGTCTAGATTACAACAGTTACCACAATGAGCAAGTACTTGGCGATAGGGCCCAAGGAAAAACTTCCTTTTAACAGGTGGAGAGACCTTGAACAGAACCGTGACTGGGGTGGGCAGATATCTGCCTAGACCGTTTGGGGGTGAGAAAGAGAGAGCGAGCGAGAGAGGTTGGGGGGGGGAAGCAGCCAACACAATATCCACACAGAATTACAAACAGTATTGTGGTTTTTGTTTCTGTCTGTGGTTAAATTCATCAATCATTTAGAAGATTCCAAACTAGAAATGTTGGATTAGCTTCCTGTTTGCAAGACATTCAAATCTTAAAATACTTTAATTAGTTAATTACATCACTGCTACAGTGGGTGAAACAATGCTGCTGTGACTTCTTGATGAATCCACGCTGACTGACCGTGACCGGTTGTTACTAAATGTCAGTAACAAGAAATAACAGCACTGTAATACTAAAAATATTGATTTGAGAAAATAGTGTCACCATTGCATAGTTTGTCCACCAGAAGGCACTGACAAGTTTACTTTTACATTGTGGAATTTCCCACTCAGTACACATTTCAGTCACAATTCTTTAATAACCAAATTTAAAAGATTTTTGTTTTAAAAAAATACAAAGGGGGGGGCGTTTCACACTACATTTGGTTTGTACAGGTTGGGAAGTCCAGTTCAGTACTGGGACATCCATCGTAGTGTTCCCCAACTGTGTGGAAGCTGGTCCTGGACCTACATTCTAACATTAGCAGCTCTGTACATCTGCTCATTAAAGTATGTAAGGTAACCAGCCAGGCACATTTTATCTCATTAAAACCAGCTCTACACTGCAATACAAGAACAATAGAACTCCCTTATTTCCGTGTCTTCAACATGCTGACTTTTGCCTAACACATGCACATATTTTAGATCATTACGGTTTACATTTTTAACCAACTCGTGGAGCTATATTTTGCTTAATTAGCTTGCTAGTTACTGTTGATAAAATCTATAGCGTCAGCCAACCAAATTGACCGTCGCCCACATGACACAAGAAGCTTGTTTTTCTCTAACTCTGTTAAGGACCTCTTCTTTGGAAAACTAAGAATTTCAGAGGTAAATCAGCCACCATTATTATTAATTTGAATGGCATAGAAAATGAGAAACTGTAGGTTTGAAAAAATGGAATGCTTGACACGTATAGCAACAGTAACTAAGGGGGCAGGATTAGCAAATGGTCAATTAATCGTAAATTAAAATGTTGGCATTCAGCCCTGATTTTGATTTAAATTGTGTGGCGTTAGTTGTGTATGGAGTCCTCCTAGTGACATGTTCTCTGTATAGGGGCGGGGCTGAGCGGCCGTCAGATGCATCGTACGCAGGGCGTGTTCAACCACACAGAGGACTACGTTCTGCTGCCAGATGAGCGCACCATCAGCCTGTGCTGCTGGGACTCGCGCACGGCCGAGAGGAAAAACCTGCTGTCTCTGGGTCACAACAACATCGTCCGCTGCATTGTCCACTCACCCACCAATCCTGGCTTCATGACCTGCAGCGATGACTTTCGGGCCCGCTTCTGGTACCGCCGCACCACCACAGACTGAGACACGTTTCTACTCTGCCGCCTCCCTTCCCGAGTCGTCTCCTCTCACTGAGAGACAAACAGATTCTGAATGGATTCTGCCGTCTCCGTAACCTCAGTGAACTCGTCACTTTCTTCTGATCTGTGGTGTCTTTCATTTTTACTTCATTTGAAACTGTGCCGTGGAATTTTTGTACAGACCCTCAGAAACGTTGTCATTGCACCATCTGAAAGAGTAAAGAGTGATTTATCAAAAAGAGAAGATGTTTCCCCAAATGGCTTCTCTTTTTGATAAAAACACTTATGTCTTAAGTCTAACCTTTACAATTTTAGTGTTAACCAACGGCCCGTATTTCTCAGTTGTATGTCAGAAATGACATCAGAGGTGGTTTGCTGTCTTTTTCCACATTTATATTTTATCTGTGTCCTTTTGTTGTATTTCATATTTGTATTAAACAAGTAAAGGAACAAGTGTTTTTTTAATTTTTTTATTAAAGTTGATGGTGAAAAGTCCCCTTCAAAGCTCTTAACCACAGCTATGGTAATATCCTGTAGATATTTTAAGACCATAGTTGTTGCTGCAAAGAGAGCAACCTGCAGGGAAAACAAATGGGTAATGACACACACACTCGTAGATATGCATATGAGTAAGCACTCATGGTGACAACAACAGAGGTACAAACATTGTGTTTTTTGTTTCTGTCTAACCCTAACCCTGCTGGATGAGCTTCCTGTCTGCAAAACATTCAAATCTTAAAATACTTTGTTTCATGACATGCTCATAAATCTGATGTCGTACTCGGCTCCGGCCTGTACCCTCAGACTTGAGGGTCACCTCACTCCAAGCCCCATCACTCCTGCATTCCCCCCCCACCCCCACCCAAACCTCAACTCTCCCAGACACTGCTGTTTGTGTTGTCCACACAACAACGAATAAAGCCGCAAGAATTTCTGCTTCAGACACCCCACCCCCTCCAACCTGCCTCAAAATGTATCACATATGGAGGAATACATCAAGTTTATAAGAAAAGGAAGCAAAATGCAATGGGAAAACATTGAGTTAGTTGGAAAAATGAGTTACAAGCTATGTACTTCTGCTTTTCTAGGAAGATATGGGGGGCGGGGGGTAGAGTGAAGTGAAGCTGAATGAAAAAATACCCACAGAAACAGTGAAGGGGTGGGGCAGCTGCAAAGAAGGGGGTGTCTCCAGCCAATGGGGCTGCGGGAAAGCGGCTCTGACAATGACATGGACTTCAGTTGCCCCGCCCCAGGTGTAAAACAGTGTGGCTCTCAGCGGCAGCTCAGACAATATGCTGATAAGACAGGAGGACTGAAGTTTTCGCACACACTTGTGGTTGAGATGGTTCACTGAAAACTGACCCTCTGTGGACGGATCTTTTTCTCTGTGAACACAGCTGCTTAACAAACATGGTGAGTCCTGCAGCTGCTCCACTACCTTTAATTTATATTTAAATTAATCAGTCAACTTTAATTTTGAATGATTTCTAACCTCAGCTTTGATACTGTAATGCATACTGTCATGTCTTTTGTATCTACTCTGTTGGCTACTGTTGCTTGTCCAGAGTGTCCCTGCAGACCACCTGCTTGGATTTCACTTGAGCTTGCAGTGTCAGCTACTGCCTATTTCTACACACAGCCCCTCTGACCTGCTCTGCTGTTGGCTGTAATCTGAGAGGGTCAATCCTGACAGAGCTGAGAGTGAAACTTTATGAGCCTCATTACACACAAGCATTTAGAAGTGAGATGATCAAGTCAGGCTGCACGGAACCAGATAATTAGGATGTTAGGCAGATGTTTCCGTTCTTACATTGGGGTCATTTACACTGTGGACGCTGGGGACATGTCCCCACCACTTTTTTTAAAGCAAAATTTGTTAACTAACATTCTGAAATATTGCTTGCAGTGAAATAACAAATAAATAGTTTTAGAAAGGTTAATTTGCACATTAAGAAAACATGCAATTAAAATATAGAAGAAACAAATGTGCATTGTCCAGAAAAAGTAACTTAAGGTAAAAAAAACAACAAGCTGCTGATTATAAAAACAACCCAAAAACGTGAAACACCAATCAGTAACTTTAACAACTTCTTGACAGTTTCTTTTTGGCCAAGTTTTCCGCTCTCTCCCTGTGAACATGACAAAAGAGGAGGGAAGACTAAATCACGCCAATTTATGTGTTGCCTCAGTAGGGATGATATTACATGAGAAAAGCTGCACAGAATGACTGAGAGCTGCACTGCATTAGATTATATTAGATCTATATATTTTGAAATGCCACCTGTATTTTCTGTTTCCTTTTACATAAATAAAAACATTTCCACCATAAATTGGTGCATAAACTTTCACCAGAATGCAGGAAAGGAAGTTTTTAAAATTTAAAATTAATCTTTAATCTTAAAATTTCCTGGAGGAGGTCTCCCCAGACCTCCCCGCTCGTCGTCTTGTTCTTGTGAACCTAATATTGCGAATCGTGATGTCTTGCAAGCTAAGTGTCACTTCACATCCTTAATCTGAGCCCCTGTGTCCCCACCGCTTGATTTATGAATGATAAAACCAATAAATGGGTCTACATATTTCTGATCTCAAACTCCATGCATGTGTTGCTGTGCTGGGAGTGCACTTTTTTATTTGAACTTTTGTGGCTGCTTCGGTTCCCATGTGCGCCTGTTGAAACCTCATATTCTCTGTCCAGCTTGATGCCTCTTTAAACTCAAGATGTTGCAAAAAAGATTAAACTTAATACAAGAGAATGTCTCTTCTTCTACGGTCTCTCCACGTCTTTGTTGAGTCTTGTATTGACAGATTTAATTTATTTGATGGAAAATGTTTGAAAAGCCTTGTCATGAGTTATGTAACAGCAAAGTATTATCTTCTCAAGTCCTATCGGTAGCTCACAGTAGAGGGAACGGATATGCCTCATCCAGACATTTTCCCATGCAAAGCAATAATGTGACTGAGCTCATCTTATTCATCACTTCTTTAAAAAAACTGACTGGTTTGGTTATTGACTCACCGTCAGCTTAACCAATCTCATTTCCGATGTATACGGTTATTTCGAATTAGAATTTCTTTTTTAGCTCATAGAGCTATTTTGGAATGCCTCGTGTGCTGTGTTGTTTTTATCTGAGAGCAGGGATCCGTAGACAGTCATGAGGGCTTACACATCAGGAGGCTGCAGGAAGAAGTGGCAGCATCCTCTTCACATCTCACTCAAGGAATTTGAAACACTTTTCTTTTGCGTCTAATTCACCATATGCCGTTTATGTTATCCATACACCATGTGTTTAACTGCTGAGGACTATTAATCTACTTCAAAAGTGAGAGGCCCCCATCAATCATGCTGTTAGCCAAAGAGTTTGAATATAATTGCCAACTGGACCATTGGCTTCTGATTAACATCACCAACTCTGAAATCTAAATGAATTGAGTCACTGGTCTATAGAGCTGAGACTTGTATGGTACTAATAAATAGATGGATTAACACATTAATGGCTTGCAACAACACAGGGACTTTCCACAACCACTTTTCTGAATGCAGAAGCTGATGACATCAGTTCTGGTTTTAGTGGGAGGTTAAGCAGAAAAGCAGGGCTGTGGCTTTTTAAAGCCGCTCTAATAGATTTTTGTATATTAACAATCAATAAAATTACTATGTCTAATGTGAAAGGCACTGTGGAACGCTCTTCCCTCAGACCTCCGTGGTCTCTGTAAAAACAGTTGAAGACTTTTTTATTTAAACAGGCCTTTGTCTCACCATGAGCTGTTGTATGTATACAATCGTGTGTTTTCCCCTCCATAGGTGCTTCGGTTTTATTGACTGATTACTTTTATGGTTTTATGATGTTTGGTTCTTGACTACTCACATTTATTCATTTAGCTGACGCTTTAATCCAAAGCTATACATGTCAGAGGTCACACGCCTCTAAATGTCTTGCTCAGGGACACAACGGTGGATGGGTCCCAGTTGAAAGGAGACTGAATATTGGACTTAGGTGGTGAGACACACAACTCCACAACAACTTGATAAGATGATAATATGTCAGTGTTGCATTCATGCATGGTAGCTTGTGTGTCGTACTGAGCCTCAAACCACATATCCCATAAAGCCTTTGCTTTTCATTGCAAAGATAATGTTGCTACTTTAAACATTGTGTTTGGTAGTGTGGCTGACAAGGGCAGGCAAACGCAGAGCAATCATAGACTGTATAAAAGAAGACGTCACCCGTTTTTGGACTGCCGTTTTGAAGCCTCGAGTTTGTGTTGAGAAGGGTCCTGCTGCAGCTGGATTTACTTGGTTTGGCTGATAGATATTTGGACGAGACGGCGGAGCTAACGGCCGTATGCGGAGCTAGCTAGCTTGTAACATTACATCTGTAATTCACCCTAACTGTCATTTTAACAGGGCTGATAATTTTGTCTAACGAAAAACAGGCTTAAAACTAAATGTACTCACCAGAGAAAGTGAACAGCCAACTCCTAATAAGCTGTTCCAACGGCGCTGGTTAAATTTACACAGTGCCGTGGGTACAAGTCACTCTAGCCTGACTGACAGGTCGCCATGGTAACAACTTGTCAATCACAGATAATCCCGCCCTGAAGCATCCTCTGCTTTCTGGTTTATTTTCCTCTAAATGGGACCATTTACTAAACGAACATCATGCTGTGTTGAAGAAGACATGAAACTGAGACCATAACCTCATTAGGAAAGTGTTTACTGAGGTAATTATTCAGGTGAGAAGTAGGCTCATTTCTAATGGAACCAGACTTCTGTTTGCAACCAGAACAGTCGCCCCCTGCTGTCCGTTCAACAGAATGCAGGATTAAGGGACTCCGCGCTAAGTGGTTCTGTTGACTGGACGTGCAGCATTTTTTCATTGCATTTATTTTTGGGGTATGTGTGCATCGTTTCTGTATTGGCAGCTTGTTTGCTGTTAAAGTATTTGTTCTGGCTTTCTGCACCATGGCAATTCATGTTTGTTTTAGATTTTTATATGTGTTAAGAATTGGCATAGTTTCTGAAGCTGCAGCATGTTGGAGATGTTTTGGCCCGTTTGTAAAGCCATCTCCATTTGTGATTTTAAAGATTCCTTGAAGTCTCCTTGTAAACAGTGTTTCTCACTGCATTTTGTGTATCCTTGTGGCCTAACAAAACATTTGCATACATTTTTTGAACGTTTTGAATCCATGTTTGCTAGCTAGCTTAATTCAATGTCAAGGTCCCCTTACTAACTTTTACTGGTAGTCTTCCCATGCAAATGGAGTTTGCTCAGTTGTCATGTGTCACTTTTCTACAATCAAAACAGTGCTCCATAGAAAATTCCACAGGATATCATGTTACACAACAAAGTCAAAAGCCGTATTAGGAAATCGTAGGAATTGCTCGTAGGAAATGTTAAATTTCCTTATTTGTTTAACATTATTATAGAATTGTCTCAAATAGAATGAGGTCATCTTCAAATGTTTAATGCAGCTCATTTAAATTGCAGTTAGAAAGTGTACAACAAGAACCCAACAAAGACCTGCACTGAAACAAACCACTGACTGTAAGTCAAAATTGGTTCAAACACAGTATCAACCACCCAACATGCTCTTTAACAGTGTAACTGTAACAGCTAAAAGTAAAGCAACAAAGTGACCACATGTATTAACATATATTCACTGTGACAAAAGGCAGAAGATCAGACTGGGTATAAATAAACCAGAGTGTCAGCAGTGAGATAAGTTCCTGCCACAGAGCAGTGAGTCTGCAGCCTGCATCTTATCTGCTGCTGCTCACATTGTCTAGTCTGTCATCCACTGTTACTGAGAAACAACCAACTACTTTACATAATCTAATCAGAATCGTCAAGTCCTGCTTATAAATGCTCCGTACTTGTATAGCGCCTTTCTAGTCTTTTTTTGACCACTCAAAGCGCTTTTACATCTACATTCACCAGTCACACACTGGTGCTCAAACGGAAACTAACATTCACACTCACTCACCGACCAGGGGCAATTTGGGGTTCAGTATCTTGCCCAAGGACACTTCGACACACACACTTCACTTAGCTTCTTCAATCTTGTAATGAGTCATTCAGCCTAATTAGTGTAGAGCCCGACCGATATGGGATTTTTAAGACCAATACAGATTTCAATATTTGAGGATTTTAATCCGAAATGCCGATATATCAGGCGATATTTTTCCCTTCTTATCAGAAACACATAACATAAACAAAATTAAAATTATAAACAAAATTTGTTGTTATGAGACCTCACCAAGATAACATGCTGAACAAAAATATAACTAAATATATCAAAGTTTTTATAAAGAAGAGTCAAATATTTAAAACTACAAAAAAGATCCATTATAAACTATAGAGTACTACTACTAAGTGCAGTAGTTATTACCTTACACGTAATCTGCCACAATG